TGTTCTTTCCTTTGAGCAAGTTCTTTGCCTTTCATATTGTATGTTTTGGGCTTATTTACTCTTTCAGGTTCTTATACTAGGGAGACAATATGATGTTTACACATGTGGGTCCGATTTATTTCACTTATGAGTATGGTCTCTAGTTGCATCCATTTATGCACAAAAGCCTCGATTTTGTCTTCTTCATAGCCAAGTAATACTCCATTTTATAAAAATAACACTTTTTTTTTTTTTTATCCATTCCTCAGTTGATGGGCATTTGGGTTGTTTTCAAGATTTAGCTATGACAAATTGTGCTGCTGTACACACGGGTGCACATATATCACAGTGGTAGGATGTTTTTAATTCTTCTGGGAAAATACTTAGAAGGGAAATAGCTGGGTTAAGTGGGACTTCTAATCCTAGTTTTGTGAAGAATCTCCACACAAAAGTAATTAGTTTAAAAAAAGAAAAATAAAGCACTAGCAACTCTACCTCTCAGTGATGACTGCATTAGTACATATAGACACATGTAAGTATACACGTACAGTATTATATAATAGATGTTCTGCAATCTGTAATTACTCAGTAATCTGTCATGGTCATATTTTCATTTTAATAAATATAACTAGAGATCACTTACAGTTGTTGGAAGTGATATTTTCCATTCTATTACTAACTTAATCCCCTATCAAGGGCCATTTAAGTATTGATTTTTCAACATTATAAACAATGCAGAACATCTTTGTCCACATATTTCTCACAGTTTTGGAATTATCATCTCAAAGTAAATTCTTTGAAGTGGACTTGCTGAATAAAACTATGCAAGCATTTTGCAAAGTATTTCTAGAAAGTACCCATTTGTACTGCTTCTTAAAAGCCCTTTCTTAATATCTGGCCCAAACAGATTTTGTTACTATATGTAATCTTTGCCAGCGTGATAGACAAGAATAGCTTAATTTTGTTATTAAAAATGTTTCAAGCAAAACATTACCAAGTTTCAATTAACTACTCTTCTCTACCACCCCAGTGCCCAGTTCTGTTCCCTAAGATACTTTATTTTAAATATTTCCATGTTTATTATTTATGATGGGTATTTCTGTAACCTACACTCACACTATCATATCTTTATTTATTAATATTAGAGAACATACTACCTTTTGTTTTGGGGACATGCATTCACATAGTCTTCTCTGTCTCTGTTTTTCTGAGTCTCCTGCTGTTTCTATTTTACCCTACATTAACTCAGAGATAAATGTCTGTATTCATTCGGATTTAAAAATATTCCACCCACACAGAGTTCTAATAAACAACGCATACACCTGAACAACACTGGAGCTAAGTTTATAGTGAAGCAAAGCAAATAATTTTAAACAGGCACAGAAGATTTCCATCTTTTGAAAGCTTCATCAGCTGCCTGTGGTTAATTACAAATGGCAAACAATTCCTTCATTCTCATCAGAAGAGGGACGCTATTTTCCTTCCCTTTGAATCTGGACTGGCCAGGTGCTGCTTACCTAATGGAATGCAATGGAAATTAATCAGTGTCAGTTTCTTTGAGGACCAGCAGCTTCTGAGTCCTCTCTGCTAGAATACTTCTCCTTGGGATGTCCCCTTTGAAGCCCAGCCATCAAGCTTGAAAAGCACTAGATGACACTACCCATCGAGCTTGCGGTCAGCGGCCAGCATCTACTGCCAGCTATGAGAGGGAGCCATTTTGGACTTTCCAGAGGAGGTCAGTGCCAGATGTTTGCAGTTCCTGCTGCCCATGATAACATGGGAAACAGGAAATATAGCTGATGGACTTGGGATTTGGCTAAAGAGATTTCACTTGAGCTCCTAGAGGTCTTCAGACCCAACTCACATCATGTGGGGGAAAGGAGATAGATACCCAAGTGTGTGTCACCAAACTATGGTGAAATTTAATAGAAATAATACATAACTGAAGCAGCTTCCCAACCACTGAGTTTATCTCCATCTCAACCCAACATCCCTCTCCCTTGCTGGCTCCTCACCCACCCTTTCCCCATCGTTCATCCTCCTCCCTCAGTTGTTTGCTTCTCTTCCTTTCAGGAGTCAAACTAGACAAACTCATCCTCTGGTTGCTTTTTTTTTCTGCTGCACTTCTCTCTTTATTTTTTTATTTTAAAGAGAAAAGAAAACAAAATAACAACAACCAAGACAAAAACAAAATAACACAAAAACAAAAAAAATGATGCAGAATTTCAAAACAAGGTGATAGGAAGTTAACAATGGTTGTCATATTACATTATTATCTTCAATGAAGTTGCTCAGATTGCCAGATATAAGAATGCAAGATTGATCAAACAACACAAAAGAATAAAAAACAATAAAAAAATTAGAAACAATACAGAGTTTCACTAATCAATATAGTAGGGATTCAACAATGGTTGTTATATTACATATTGTTGGCTTCAAATTAGCTGTTCAGATTACCAGACATAATCATGCAAAATTGTTCAGAAAAAGAAAAATTTAAGCATTAACTGTTCCTTTCAATAAACCAATAGGCATCAGCAGCTCAATTAATTATGCCAGCTGTCCTTGTCTATCCTCCAGCCAACCTTATCCAAAAAAGGAAAGAAAAACTCAAATTCATGCAATAAGGAATGAAAAGGGTGAAATCACTACACGTCCTATAGAAATGCAGAAGATCCTCAATACCTACTTGGAAAATCTTTACTCTCACAGGACGGAAAACACAGAAGAAATAGACAGATTCCTAGATACAGATGAATTACCAAAGCTGAATCAAGAAGATATAAAAATTCTGAATAACCCATAATCAGTCAATGAAATTGAAAATGTAATTAAAAACTTACCAACAAAGAAAAGCCCAGGTCCTGATGGATTCACAACTGAATGCTACAAGAAATTTGGAGAAGATTTAGTGCTAATTCTTCTCAAATTCTTTAATGAAATTGAAAGGGAAGCAATTCCCCTAACTCATTCCTGGAGGCATCCTGGAGGCAAGTATTACCCTCATACCAAAACCAGAGGAAGACCCAACCAAAAAAAGAACTACAGGCCAATCTCTCTAATGAACATAGATGCAAAAATCCTCTCTGGTCTCTTTAAAAATATATTTCTCAATAAAAGCCTCAAGTTTATCTTTCTTTACAGATTAGTAATACTCCATTGTATAAAAATACCACATCTTTTTTTTTTTTATCCACTCCTCAGTTGATGGGCATTTGGGTTGTTTCCAAGATTGAGCTCTGAAAAATTTCTGCTATAAATATGGGTGCACATATATCACTGTGGTGTGATGTTTTCAGTTCTTCTGGAAAAATACCCAGAAGAGGGATAGCTGGGTTGAATGGGACATCTAATCCTAGTTTTTTTTGGGATACTCCACACTGATTTCCACAGTGGTTGAGGCTTTTAATGGATGCAGCTAGAGACCATACACATGAGTGAAATAAATCAGATCCACATGTGTAACCATCATATTGTTTTCCTAGTGCAAGAACCTGAAAGAGTAAATAAAATGTGAAAGGTACAATAGATACTACAAAAGGGAAAGAAACTTCTTAAAAGAAAAGAACAACTGAGATGAGGGAAAGAGAAGAAAAAGAAAGAAGGAAGGAAAAAATATATATACACAAGACGCTAGGATAATTGTGCTACTAATTTCTATTGGTTTATTGAAAGGAACAGTCAATTCTTAATTGTTTGATCAATCTTGCATACCTATATCTGGTAATCTGAGCAACTACTTTGAAGATAACAATATGTAGTACAACAATCATTGTTAATTTCCTATTATCTTGGTTTGAAATTCTGTATTGCTTTTATTGTTTTTGTGCTGTTTTCCTTTTGTCTTTGTTTTTGTTATCTTGTATCTGTTCTTTTCCCTTTAAAACAAAATTTAAAAAAGTCTTTCTTTACCCTGCAAACTGTTAACTCAGGTTGTCATGAGGAATGAACTGGTTGAGGTAACCTTTCGCATAAAGTCTATTCTCTCTCTAAAAAGACTTGTGCTGTGTGAGATTCTCTACCCAGGAACCACGCATGAACTGCACTTCTACATTCACAGTGAAAACAACTTATCCTTTCCTTCCCTTCTTTTCCCTTTCCTTTCTTTCCTTTCTCCTTTTCTCTGTCTCCCTTTTTCCTTGTTTTTCTGTTTCCTCTCATTTCTTTCTACCCTAGAAGGAGGTAAAGCATCAATGATAAGATGCCTGGTTTTTGTTTTCAGATCAATAGCTGTTCTAGTTCCAGGCAACAAATTACTTCACGGCGGGACTGTTCAAACCAGTCCATAAATAAATGTTAGCTAATGATGGAAATCAATCAATCAGTTCATCAACACATTGAGTAAGCTCCTGTTTTCTGTAAGGCGCTGAGCTAGCCAACCAGACAAAAATAAAAGGTAAATGACTTTGGATTGCACTTTATTTCCTCTACTGCTTTGTTTTCAGCATGTCACAGACATAGCACTACTTATTATTCTAGTTTATGAATTCAGCTATATTTCCTGAGTGCCTTACATAGAAGCATAAAGGTTCACTTCCAGTAGGAAGTTTCCATTTGCTCTTCACACTCTCTCCTCATTTGCTAAGGCTGCTGTAACAAAGGACCAGAAACTATAAGTCTTAAGATGATAGCCTGTTCTCTCTCAGTCCTGGATGCTTGAAGTCTGTTGAGAGGCCATTCCTCCTCTGAAGATCTATCAGGATCCTCTTGCCTCCTCCCACCTTGGGCTTCCTTTGGCATCCCTTGTTTTTTTGGCAGTATCAGTCCAGCCTCTGCCTCCATCTTTATAACACATTTCCTCTGTGTCTGTCTGTGCCCAACTCTTCCTCCACTCATAAGGACACCGGTCTTGCCCATCCTAATGACTTCATCTTAACCTGATTTTACCTACAAAGACTCTGTCTTTACATACAGTCACATCCGCAGGTATTTTAGTAAATTTCTCATCTCTGGCACACAATATCCAACACAAACAGCTCCAAGAAGGAGGGGTTTATTTTGGCTCATGTTTTATTCCATAGTCTCCTGGCTCCAAGGCAAGACAGCATGGCAGAAGACATTGTGGAGGAAAAGCTGCTCCCCTTGTGGAGACCAGGACACAGAGACGGAAGGACAGAGCTGGACTGGAGATACACACTTCCAGGCCATGCCCCGAGGGGCCCACCTCTCCTGAGCAGGCCCCACCTCCTAACAGCAGGTCAGCTATGAACCCCCATAATCCAGTCATCTGTCTAACTCCCCACCTATGAGTGCTTGCGACTCTTGGGGGACATCTAGAGCTAAGCCACAAGAACAGGTGTTGGAGGTTAAGACTTAGTGTGTTTTAGGGGGAACAGAATTCCAGAATTTTTCATAACATCTTTAAATATCTCTTTCTCTTCTATTCATCGTTTTTCTAACTTGTCTCCTTTTCTCTACACATCTGTACTGTCCGTCCTTCATTCACCTTGCCTTCTCCTAAGCCCATTTCTCTTCCAGTGGTGACATGGCCCCCTTGCAGCTGGTCTCAGGAGCATGGTGGTGTGCAGGAGGGGAAGGGGCTCAGGCAAATGTCTTCGGAGTGACAAAAAAGGTCTCAGCAATCACCTGTCTTCCACAGTCTCAGTGTCCTGCGGTCTCAGAAGCATCACCCACACTGACAGGAAAGAGCCGAAAAGAGACGGGAAATAAGGATATAGCAATTGTCTAGACAAGTATCACAGGTAATTAATCTAATTAAGCTAACATCTTTCAACTGCTTTTACAATACCTGCCAGAATGTTGTCAGACTTGGCTCAAGTGCAGCAGAATATTTCTAAATAAGTAGAAAAGGGTTGCAGCTCTTAATATTGGCAGTAAAACTTCTAATAAATCTATCAGCTCCACCTTCTAATGGGGCTTGATACTGGACAGCACCTCATATGGAAGAGTGGATGGATTCCCATGAGATCAGCCACTAAACCTGCCATATGTAACTGCTGAGCAATTCACTCAGTCAAGCTGAGCCAGCTTCTCACATCCAAGCCTTGGGATCTCTGCTATGTGCTTGTTCGCATGAGGGGAGGACTGCGGTCAGATATTAATGGACACAACTGTATTATCGCAGTTGCCGGTGTTCCATTCTCCAGTGTCTCTCTCCTACAAAACTGCAATTTGTCCGGGAGGGAACATGAGTGGCTGCCACAGCCCTGATTTCTGGTATCCTAAGTGGGTCACATTTCAAACACCTGCACACAGGGAGCAAGCCTTGAAGCAGTTACGGGGAGCTGCAGCTTCCTGTTAGTCTGCCAGGGCTGCTATAGTATGATTCCACAGGCTGGGAATTAAACAATAGAAATGCTTTTTTTCTGCATGGTGCCGGAGAATAGAAATTTCTATTTCTATTGAAAAATAGAAGGGTGAGGGTGTCTTAGTTTGATTTCTTCTGGGGCCCCACTTGCCTTGGTTTGCAGCTAGCAGCCTTCTCACTGTGTCTTCATGGACCAATTTCCCTGGGTCCCTGCATCTCTTATTGTCCAAATTTCCTTTCTTATGAGGACACCAGTGAGATTGGATAAGGGACAGCCCAATGACCTCACTTTAAGTTAATCACTTTTTAAAGGCCCTATTTCTAAACAGGGTTATAATCTCAGGTACAGAGAGTCAGGGCTTCTATATGTGAAGTTTTCGGGGACAGAGTTCAGCTCATAACATCTGAGTTTGCAACATTGGCTGGTTTTGGAAGGAGTCTATTCTAATAGGGCTTCATCTCCTCTTCAATCTTCTATCCTATATCCAGAGCCTTAATGTGGTGTTCCTAACTATTACCTCTGGAAGCTATGCTGAAAATATAGTCTCTGTAGCATACATTTTTCCAAATATGGCCCAGGGATAGGCAACTTCCTATATCCTAGAGACATGAAGATTTAGATTGCTAAAATGCAAATTCCTGGGCTACCTGGAACTTTAAAAATATTGTATGCATCTCTTAGGCATAGAGCCCAGGAGACTGCACTTGCACAAGAATTACCTTTTCAGGTAATTTTAAGGAACACTAAACTGTGAAGTTGTTGTGTCACTATTAGCTGGAGCTAACTGATGTTGCAAAAGTGACAATTGATCTCTGTTTTTTAATATGCTGACGTGATTTTTGAATAAAACCTGAAGAGAGAGACAAAGCTGCTATAAGTGAGCTATGCAAAACCCACTTTGTTGGTACTGTGATTAGTAGGGATAGACCATTTCTCAATCAGTAACAAATAATGGTGATTAGAAATTATGGTAGACTAAATGCAGGAAATCCAATGAATATGTTCTGGGCACGAGAATTTTATGAACTATGCAGTTCATCAGAAGAAAATTAGCACAATTGTGCAAGATATCACAGAGCACAACCACGCTAGATATGCACACACACACACACACACACACACATACACACACACGCACACACATGCACACCTATCACAGGGACCCAGCAGTATCTGTGGGGATTGATTCCAGCCCAACTCCCTGTGAATTCTCAAATCCTCAAACGCTTAAATCTCTTATATAAAATGTCATGGTATTTGCATATAACCTATGCACATCTGCCTGTACACTTCAAATCTTCCCTAGATTTCTTCTAATACCCAATGTAATGCAAATGCTATGTAAATAGTTTTTACCCTGAATTATTTAGGAAATAATGGCAAGGAAAAAAGTCTATACATGTTCTTTATAGATACAATTCTCTGAACATTTTCAGACTGGTTGGTTAGATCTGTGAAAGTGGAAAATCCAGGGAAGGAAGACAGGGTGTGTGTGTGTGTGTGTATGTGTGTGTGTGTGTGTGTGTGTGTGTTTGGTGCTGGGGATGTCTTTGAGTCTTGCTGGCTCTTGGAGTCTACTCCTGAGTTCTCACACTGATATATGGGATCCCATGGCGTGCATGAGCTGTACTGATCCCAAGCTCTGTTTTAAACATCTCCATCTGGAAGTTCTTTGGCCAAATCTGAGCACAGATAATCCCTCACTCATCAACATTCTTCCTAAACTTCACCTTCTGATCACGTTTTCTTCCTTTCTCTCTCTTCCGCATCCTCCCTCTTCTATTTATTTATTTCTTGTGATACTGGAGATTGAATCCAACCCTTCACACTGAACTACATCACCAGCCCTTTTATGTTTTATTTTAAGACAGGGTCTTGCTAAGTTTCTAAGTTGCCCAGTTTGGGCCTGAACTTGCAATCCTCCTGCCTCAGCCTTCCAGAGTGCTGAGATTACAGGCATGTACCCTCATTCCCTTTAAATCACTGGCTACACTTCTTTTCCCCATTTTAACATCCAACCCTAAAATTTTTCCCCTCAAACTACCAAGACAAGACTAAAAAGACATGTTTCTGAATTATACAGAACAATTTAACTTTTCATTCTCACCCCATAGGGCTCTGGGCCTTCCATTTAATAAAAAGAAAAATCAATGCATAGTTACTGAACATCTACCAGAAGGCAGGCATATTTTGGTACTTGAGTTGCTCTTTAAAGTATTGTGTTAAGGAGAACATATACCTTCAGAGCAAAGAGCAAGTTGAAATTTTAAATTTTACTTTCCTAAATTTGGGTGAGATCAAATTCTTAGGCAGAACCTTCCCTCCCATTTATTAGAAGTATTTATTTATTTTCAGTCCTTGTACTTTGTTTGTCCTGAGATATAAATTGTGCAACTTTTACCATTTTTTAAGTGAATAAGTCAGTGGCATTAAATGCATTCACAGTGTTGTACAACTATCACTGCTGTTTCCAGACATTTGTCTTCATCTTAAACATGAACTATCTGCCCGTTAAACACTAACTACCTCCTCCCTCTCCCCCACTCCTAGCAACTTCCACTCTGCTTTTCTCTCCAGGAAACTTGTCTATTCTGACTACTTCAGAATGATTTGTTTTCCTTTTGTGTCTGGTTTATTTCACTTATCATGATGTTTCCAAGGTTCATCCATATTTCGGTATGCATCACCACTCATTCCTTTTAAGTCAGAATAATATTCCACTGTCTGTATCCACCATGTTTTGTCTGCCTGTTCATGATTTGATGAACGCTTGGATGATTTCTACCTCTTAGCTCTGTGAACATCGGTGTACACATATCTGTTTGCGTGATGGTCTTTAATTCTTTTGGGTATGGTCTTGGAAGTAGAGTAGCTGGATCATACAGTGATTCTATGTTTAACTCTTATTGCATTTTAAAAAATCAAACATTGTATAGTGGACTTCAGGGAGCCAGAAAGCCTAGGTTTGAACCTTGGCTAGGTCATTTATATCTTGGGCCAGTAACCTAACTGGATTTTCTTTCTTCTTTCATTCTATAAAAGGGAGCCGGCCAAGATCTCTCTCAGTCCTAAGATTTAGGAAACTGATGTTGAATCATGATTTCACAAACCCATATTAAACCTTATTTCAAAACTACCTAAATTACCGAATGCACATTCTTAGTTTTTACATCTGTCTGTAAGGTTAATCTTTGGCAACACAGTCTTTGATGTAGTAGGAACGTAGCTGCTAATGGCATTGCAGTGCAGATTCTGACAGTCTCATCCATCTACCCACCCATGCATTTTAAAATATTAGGTGCTGGAAGTATACAGATGACTTACAAAAATTCTATTTCTCAAGAATCTTTTAATCCAATGGCAAGAGGTGGGTGAATCCTTTTCCTCTCTTCCTGTTTTCCTGTCTTCTAATTGGAGCACGGAACATTGTGGCCCAGAATTCACAACTGTGAAGAGCCTCAAATGTTAGACTTCTGATGTTGGAGTTAAATGTACAGTGACAGAAATCATCAACACAAAGATTTCGTGAAGCAACCAGATTTTTTTAACTTTCTTGTCTACCCTAGAGCTTGTAGCTTTCATACTCTGGTCATAAAATGGCTGCTGCACCACCAGCTACTACTATTTGCATTTCAGGCAGAAAAAAGGAGAACAGGAAGAGTAAAGAGATGCCTTTGCAAGAACATTTGCTTATTTTTCAGTGGCCAGCCTCCTTACATCCCATGACCATGTCTAGTTGAGAGGGAGGCAGGGAATTTGAGTATTTCATTTGCCAACTTGTAATGTAGAGAGTCATGATGCTGACGGTGAGCAAGTAGGTACTATTCTCTCTTTTGACATTTTGTCTCAAGAACCTCAAAAGCATCCTCTTTGATCTCTGAGAGGCTTCATTTGCGTTGAAGCAGCTTCCTCTTCCTGCATGTGGTGGAAGTTAGTATCTGGCCACCTGCTCTGCCAGCCCGACCTGGGCCTTTGTACCTCGGGTGATCCTGGCCATCTGCCGTGTGACAGCTTCATCTCTCTTCTTCTTTCATGTCCACTGTTGGTTCCAATTCATGGAATTTTATTTCTGTTTTAGGTTTCTATTTCTGCATCATGTAGCTGCCCTGCTCTCTGAGAAGGCTGTGAGAACTTCCCTACACCCAGTGCAGGGGCTAGAATCCTGTCGCCTCTGAAGAGGCCCAGGCCCTGTGTGTCCAACCCCCTGGACCTCTCCGTGCTGCTTGCTCACTATGATCCAGGTCACTAGGCCCTCTACCCTGTGGGATGCCCATATTCCTTCTTCCTCAGATGCCCGCCATCTTCGAGGGCTGGGCCCAGGCATGCTGTGAGCCCGAGTATGCTCTGGGGCCAGGGGTGCTGTGGGCTCAGTGTGCCCTGGGCCCAGGGGTGCTCTGGGTCTGGTTGGGGCACAAGGCTTTGCCTGATCGACT